AATATTCGTCTATATTTATAAAATAGTAATGATTTGATAAATTCATATAGTGATACTTCATGTACTCCGATACGTGCATGTGATATATCAAAATAAATAATATTATTTAATATTAGAAAAATAAAGAACAAATTTGATGAAGGTTCCATATTAATTTCAATTGGTATCCACGTTTTATTTCTTAAATATTCGATAGTCTTAGTTTTTTAATTGAATGCGTTACGCCAAAAAAATACTCTTATTGATAATCTTTTGTATAATGAATTACTGTCAAATTTCATAACAGTGAAATTACTGAATATCTCATAGTAAGATGTCATCTTAGAATCATGCTCAGTGCACTCATCACCTAATTGATTAACATAACTATGTATATCGGAAATAAGTGTCAATCTTTTTCTTAGATTTATTCATCATGTGCATTATTAAAAGATAAGATAAACCTTTGCATCAAAACTTCATACGATATTTGCATTTTGTAGTCTATCAGAAATTTTAAGTTCAATCTTATTAAATTTTTCTTGAATATTAATGTCATTTATATGTATATGTAGTCATCATGATTTCATGAAGAATTATTATGATTTTGTATTGCAGTTAAATCAGATTTAAATTCAGTATGCAAGGACTTTCAATCAGTAAAACTTACGTCACCAATAGCATTTGATATCTTATAACGATAAATTCTTATTTAGATAACAGACTTTTGACAATTTTCTGAAAAGAAAAAAAAAGGATTTATATGGCTTTGTGAGAAATCTTTTTCTCCATCGTTTGTCATAAAAATTAAATTCTGCAGCTGTAAATTTTACGACTTTTTCTGAAAATGACGTATTGTGACAAACTATATAGCAAAGTTCTTGACAATTCTCTAAAAGAGCTATTGGTCTACGCATAAGTTTTTTATAAAATCAGTTTTTATCAATTTGTATTTAATATTATGAATATTAAAATTTTTCACAAAAAATACAAAACATAAGTCTCGAAATGAAACAAGTTCTATTTTCACAACTATATTTACTGTAATATTGCAGAAAAAAAAATGATCTTTTTTCAAGGAGAAGGAGAGTGTGGGTGTGGGTGAATGTTTATTCAGAGAAGATGGACACCCACACTCACTCACTCGCATTCCGACATCCACACCCTGCTTAATAATTAGTGCTGGTAAATATGGACAACTGCAACTTTACAATCTGCCGTACGATTGGCACACCTCAGCGCCTCGCATTACTCACATTGACATGTCGCGTAGCTCTTAAGAATTACGACAAAGTCCCAACGCGAGTAAAAATAGAGGAGGGAAGTTATACTGTTATCGCTCCGTTACGTTATCAGGTAGCGGGTAACGAGTAACAGAGAAGTTCTGATTTCATAAAAGATAACTGATTGAGAACTATCCTTACATAGTCCTCATAACTTTTTCGGAGCTATCCGCGAGTACTCCCTATAACTTTTCAAGACCTATATCACCGTGGAATACATATGATAAAGATCGGGGTATGGGTCCGAGTGTGGATGTGGATGTGGGTAATGAGAACAGTAACACGTAAACCCACACCCGCATTCATCCACATTCTTTACTGAAAAATTTTGTCTGAATGTGTTCTATTTGAAAAACTTACCCTTGCACTTTACTTCTAACGCTCAAGAAACATTAGTACATTTACGTAGATATTTCGAATCGAGTTCTATGAAACATATTTATGAGAGAATTTCGCTGAATGCAAGAATTTCTTCTTGATTTTCACACGTATAATTTCGATATAACATGTTTTAAGTAGATTTTATTGAAATAAAATAAATTTCGTGATTAAATATGAAGATACAAAAGATAAATTAACTTGAATAAAGTCTATTTTTCACAAGTTTTTTATAATTTAAAACGTTCAGTGAGGTTCATGACATTGTTCGGATCCCATGCTTGACGAATACTTTGAAGTCTTGATACATTACAGCCATAAAGTTGTTCGAGAGGTGTATCTGGAAGAGCATAATTTGGATAAAGAATTTGTTTTGGTCCGCCGACATCTTGACCATCATCAAGCGCTGCTTTCAGGACAGCATCGGTCATTGACTTAATTTTAGCAATAAACACATTATCATGTGCTGCCAATGCCCAGCCGACCTGAATGTTCACAGGAAAAAGTGGTGTGATTGAAGCCATATGCGGATAAGCACCACCTTGCGACATATTGAAATAAGTTGAAATAAACGGTTCGACAACGAATGCACAGAATGCCCCGGGTTTCCAACCCAACCCTGACTTGAACTTTAAGAGTTGATCATTTATTGCATGCAGGAAATTGCTGCTCAGTCGGGTGAAGGAAACAGTGCTGTAGCGGATACTATTAAAATAAGAAATTGTTGTATATCTCATTCTTAAATGAATATAGACGCAGTTTTTTAAATAGCGATCGTGCATATCTGACTCCTTGCAACCTTAGTATTGTAAAGTTTATAAATATTCTCCCTTCAACAATGTAACAAACTGATTTTTTCCAACTTATCTAATCTAATAAGAGAATAAATATTTGTCTTTGCTATTTTTGAGGAGAGATGAGACAAATGTCGAATATATTTTTGCTATTTCTTTCAGAGCAAGCTTATCGTTGGAGTTTGGACTACAAATTATTTTTGGTAATCTCAGTCTTGATCGAAAGCGAAAATGTCGATAGACTCTAGCGTCATGTTTAATGAGTATATGAAATTATCAATAGTTTAAATTGAATCAAAGTTTTCTATTAGAAAAAGACCAGATGAAAGACAAAAAATTTCTCGATAAATCATCCAACCATTTGCGAATGACATCTTAATGAATATTTTTTTGAACGAGCATCTTTTATATCTCTAGCTTTTTTGCTTTCGAATTTTTCGGTATTTTTACTTTTCGAAATATTCATCATTCGACTCTTTTATTTCAACATCTTTGTTTCGACTAAAGTTTAGAGAATCATTATTTTCATCTAGACTAGTATAAAATGAAAATATCTTTTTTTACACTTTCATGGTCCTATATCTCGAAACACATACCGTAAATTGGTAGCTAGCTGACCCGATGAAGCAGATAGGATAAACGAGCGGTACGATTGAGTTTTAAGTATACCACCATGTAGAATGTTTGTGAAATCGTCGAAGATACCGGTTGGAGCGATCGGCGCATCGTAAAAAATGAGAAGCGCGAGGGAGTATTGGTTTAGCGAGATAAGAAATGTGCCAATAATCTGCGCTTTCGGATCTTGATTCCTTGCTTGAAAACTGACCATAACCTGTATCACCGCTTCAATCATAAACGAACTGTAATAGAGAATTCCAGCATAGACTTCTGTCTGTAGGGTGGTGCTCATGGTGAACCTGGTTACAATCCCAAAATTGTTGAGTCCACCCTTCAGGCCAAAAAAGATATCCGGATATGACATGTTGTTTATGTAAACAATCTCGGCGTTCGGAGAAATCATCTGAAAGACATATGTCAAAAATGAAATGACTCTATAACTAATGTTGCTAAATAGAGCATGTCACATGACAAATTCTATCTGCTAGATAATAGAAGGTGTATAAAATTTCGTACAAGGCATATTCAATAAATTCAAAATCACTATTTTTTGATGAAAAAATAATTCCTATTTAGGTGTTTACATAGTATAAACATTCTTAAATGGAGATTTCGTTCTCACCTCGTATTCAAGTATATTGTCAATGCCGAGACCGTACCGATTCGATTTCCAACTGTAACCACCACCAAGTAGAAATCCAGCGACACCTACTTTAGAGAACCGAGCGCCAACAACAACAATATTTAATGAATCCAGTGCCTGATATACATTGTCCCACAGAAGTCCTGATCCTAAATCTACCGTCTGATTATTTGCATGGTAAGTTATTTGGGAAAATCGACGCATGACAATAAGAATACCCGTAGTTGAGCTAAATCCAGGATTCGTTGTATGTCCACCGCCTTTGATGGCAAATGGAATTCGAAACTCTTTAATGATTGACAACTACGAGCATAAGTTCGTGGTTTAGTGAAATACTGTATGTAGCTATAATATAACTTACCACTACTGTAACATCGACAGTTGTGCCTGGCTCGACAGCACAGATAGGGTACGCAGTCGAGGACGAAGCATAATGTTTGATGCTGGTATAATATCCAATATTTAACGGATAAAACACTTTAGAGACGGGGTTTATGTTCTTTTGAATACGCTTGCAAGCAGCCAAGATTTTGTCACGTTTGCCTATGAATATTTGTTATTTTAAATTAGGTATGACATAAAGATCTTGCTTAGCAGTTAAATATTCTTAGATTACAGTAGTTTGGTCTATCATAAGTCAATTTGAAAATTTCTTTGTGCTTAAAAAGTAAGATTAGAGACCACAATCTGTTGAGTGTGGGTATAGAAATGAAATTAGCACCCACACTCACACCTCAAGGTAATGTGAGAGAAGGGTACAAAAGCACAGTATGTGCAACTTTTTCAATGAACTTCTTACCACAATACTATGTGTGACACACATTTGAATCAACAACCTTAGCTGTTATGATATAGTGATCACCTGTAAAACTATGTGCATCATGGTCATATGTATTCCTGTATACGACAACAAAACGACTGGTCACCTTCACTGTACTGCTTCTGGCCATATGTGACTGTGTGGCTAACTATAGGAGATGATAAAAATAAAGATGTCTCGAGTTAACGATATTACATAACAGACGTACACTAGTTGCCAGAGATGTCGAATCCGTCTTAATAAGCCTACTAGCATTTCTCATATTCGTTACATATGTTGCTTTGAATCTGGTCGAGGCTGAATGGGCAAAGGAGATAAATAATTATAAAAATTAGGATAAAGATTAAAAAAAAATAACATACACTTGTTATTATGCATAACAATGTTGGACCCGGCGTTCGGCAGATAGACCGATATAAGACTTAAGATGATAGCCAATATTGACAACGATCAGAAAATAGAATGAAACATCGATACTTTCATAATGAAGACGTTCAATCTTGAAGTGTACTTACTGCATAAGAGATTTCTGTTGAATAATTTCGACCATGATGTATGCTCAGATTTTGTATTATAACTATCTTAAAATCTAAACCCTAAAGATCACTATATTCATTGAAAAAAAAAGCATAAAAAAAATTAACTCTGCTCCTGATATTGGATAGAGTCTGCTGTTTTTATTTCCTGTACCCAATACCTATATGCACATAATTATACACAGAAAATAAAATCTTTGAGTAAATCTCTATGATCTCTCTATATGTGTCGTAAGAAAAATATCGTCTCGATCAAAATGATCAAGATAAATTTCTTACACTTGTTGTATGGCTAAAAAGTGATAATCTAATGCATTAAAGTCACAGGAAAAGTCACGCGTAAGTTTATCGTTTTCATTTTTCCTTCAATAAGATAATCAGCAGTTAGCTAGTTTTCAACCGACATAAGCACACAACGGGTGTTAATAGAGGAGTGTAATACCATTTAAAATGTATTGAATCAAATAACTAAATAACATGAAAGAGAAAAATAGAAAAAAAAATACGGAAAACATCTACACCAGATTAACTTTCGCAAGTGACTATTGCAAAAAAAAAAGAAAAACAAATACTAATGTCGTTCACTATCTACACGTGTGCCATTAAATGTATTTTCAACATCTTCAAATGAACTTAAATTATATAATATCACCGTATACACAAGCTCTCACTAATTTAGAGAAGAAAAATTTTCGAAACCGAAGTTTAAAAAAAACGTGACTCAACAAGTGTCTCTAGTAATTACGCCAAAAATTGACCTTAAAGATTTTATTTCAAATTTTACCAAACGTTAACTAGCAAAAACAATTTCAATAGTGCCTTGAATAGAACAATTGTTTCTAGAAAGCATTGGAAGAAAATAAAATCTTCACAGTATTCCAAAAATAGCAGAATCTTTAGGGAATCCAAACATAGTTTACCAGCAAATAGAGTCTAAAGAAAAGTTTCTTGTAATAATATGGAGTAGCAGCCAACTAATTCGCTACAAAATAACATACCTCTGAGCTCTCCAGGACATTTTTTTTTGAATAAACTACATTGATATTAAGAAACGTCTTAACACAATATTTGCGTCATTTCCGATGAGAAAAGTAGATAGAAAGTATTTTTGGACTCTTTAAAAAAGTATGCGATTCAGTCGAAAGAATGTCATGGAGAACTTGAGGATGTGCCATTTTGTAAAGAATTACTTGCTCAATCAATCCAGTAATATCAAACTAAGCTTTTATTTTCGACTTCTGAGGACTGAAAATCTAGGTTTGAAAGTTTCTAAAGATCCTAGCTCATTGGAATACTGTGAAGAGTTTATTTTCCTCAAATCCTTGTTAGAGACAGACTCCTTATTCAGATCACTAGTTGCATTGTTGATGCATGTTACCATGACGCAACAAAATCTGTATGATCAATTGTCAGAGCCACTATATATAAGAATGAAAAAACATTTCGGAGTTTCTCGGAGGCGTAGAAATTTTTTCCCGGTGTCAAAGCCGAGGTCGAAGCTGCAGATGTGAACATTTTTGGGGTCTGAGTCGAAAAAATTTGACTTCATGATGCTCTATATGCCACGTCTTGAATTCTTCGGTTCTTCTTTTTCTCTCGCCGTCTCTCTTCTTCGATTCATGCCTTTCGAGCGACAGACACATCATGAGTATGTCAATGCATACGAGGAAGAAGGGATGTTTTTGAAGAAATATATATACTGTCTTGTTTTTTTCCTCTTTTTATCGTTTTATTTGAAATAAAAGGAGCGATGTATCAAGGCAAAAAGTAATTTTTATAATTCCTGAAAATTACTTTACTCTTTTGAAATGAGGTAGCTTTGACTTTAAACTTTCGAAATAATAATTATTGGGTGTGGAGTGGCTACCTTGAGGTGTAAGTGAGTGGAATGACCACTCGCATTCTGTATTTTAAGACAAAAATCCATAAGTCTACCTTAGAACATTCTAGGAGCTATAATGTCCATGAGTGCCATATAATATGTCTCCAGCATTATAATCAGTATATGCAATGGTCCGCTGGTTCGAGATAGATTATCTACATAGCAGGGACCTTTCGTATGTAGTAGTATTCTGCACCAATCTTTGTTATTTCAAAACTCTCAAATCAAAAGTCCTTCATTTCGAAAGAGTAAAATAGTTTGTTTCTAAGGGAAATCTGTAAAAGAAAGATAACTAATGAATCAGAAAATAGTAATTATTCAAATATCTAGGATTTGAATGGATAGACAAACTATTCCTCACCCAAACAGTTAATCACTGCATTGAAAAGATCAAAAATTCTTATATTATGCTGAAAAGAAACAAAAACATATCAACGGAGGTATTGAGACTATGCTTCTTTGCATACAAGTTTCCCTTTTTTGCTTGGATTTTTTGTTCTTTCCCCTGTTACCTAATTCTCACCAAACGGTCCTTAAATACAAGTTTAGAGTAGGTATAAGAATGACTACTGGAATCGTACTTTAGAGACTACCTTCAAAAACAATTGAATTGAGTATTCAGATTTGACTTAGGAGTCTCTTTTTTATAATGATATATTTCATTGGAATCGTCTCAAGAACAAATTAAAGAAATAGCAAAAACAAGACTCTAATTCGTTGGATCTAGTTCATTGGAAAAGTGCTCAGATAAAACTAATACCTGATCTGCAACCTTTCCTCCATCTGTTCCTACATTTTTCTACTTCCTATCTATCGTTTTTAACTCTTCCCGATCTCTTAGTTTCTATTTTCTCTTATTCTTTTTCTTCGTTTTTTTCTTGTTGTCTCTTTTCCTTTCATCACATTTTTGTTTTTATTCCTTTCTCTTTCTCTTATTTTCTTGTTATTCTTTCTTTGCCATTCTATTATAAGTGTCCACGGACGTGATAATAAAGACAACCTACTCAAAAAAAAACAAATAATCATTATAAACGTAGTAAATACTTTGAATAATGTTCATTAGAACATGTGATTATATAGAGTTGTAAATTTCAAAGATTACTAAACTTGTTGACTTCTATAGCATATTTAAAAAGAAACAGAAAATTCTGAGATCCTCTCCATCATCAATGTAGTACAGTGATTTATTTTCTCAGAAATTGATTATTAATAAGCTTCTGTATGATTGAGACTCTTTACAAAGACTTATCTAGAAAAATCGGAGACCCATTATACAATTTTCGGATTATGTGTATAATTATGCGTACTGATCTAGGTGAAACAGAACAAAAAATCCATTCTGAATATCTCTTCCCAATTGTAAGATATTGACACCCAACTTAATACGTTCATTTAAATATAACCAGTGATGATGAATGAATATCATTCAGCAATATCGAGTACTATCCATAAAAAAAAAGTTTTGTTGTTGTGGGAGCAATCAGCTATGAATTGTAAAAATAACTACAGTATACTAACTGATCTATGACAACCAATCAAATGAGTTACTCGCATTATTTTGAGCTATTTCGTATCTCAGACTCACGTATTAAAGTACATTCTGTTGTAATCGCAAATGTCAACGAGTATAAATAAATATGAATATGATATTAATCAATACACATTTTCATTATATAATTGCACATTAGTTTACCTTTCATTTTTCCTTTCTATGCTCGACTGAATCATGATCAACGTGCAGATTTTTCTTTCGTTTCTTGTAGCATTTGTGTTGTTAATCATAGAGATAAAACCTAGAGCATTTCTCTTTCACTCTGTACTGCTCAATCAAAATTTACTAGAAGTGTTTGGTATTCTCAGGGAAATCCGACATTGCATGCGGTATTAGAAGGGCGTCTGTTGGAGTCCGAGAGTGAATGTGTCTCGCTTCCGAACTAGTTATTCGTCTTTGGAAAATTAAAAATTAAATGATTAAAAAAAGAGTTATTATTGGATCACTATATCCGTGAACTTTAATCGGTTTCAGAAGTCAAGGCACTCGGTTGTTTTTTGAATAACTTTTGATAGGAAAAAGACAGAGACCTGTGAATTTTCAGTGTTGGACAGTCAAGATCCAGGATCATATTTTCGTAAGCAAAATCTTTTCTAGAAAAAGCCTGAAATCGGTTTTTCAGAGGATCTCTAGAAAATCACGCTGAATTTCTGATATCTTTTCACGAACTAGTTTTTTCATCGAAAAATTCACCTCAAGTCCTCCTGGAAGGTAGGCCTTGGGGTGAATTTTTCGATGAAAAAACAAGTTCGTGAAAAGATTCGAAACATATATGAGTCGACTCAGTTTTCGATGCTAATTCCGAATATGTAAAAAAATCAATAGGCTGTTATAGTAGCTTTCAGAAATTTAGCGTGATTTTCCAGAGATCCTCCGAAAAACCGATTTTCATGCTTGTTCTAGAAAAGATTTTGCTTATGAAAATACTATTCTGGATCTTGACTATCAAACACTGTAAATCACACTATCAAAATGATATTTTTCATCACCACAGAACACAATGACTTCACTGTTGCCTCTCGAATTTTCAATTTGTAGATCTAATTTATATGGATAAGATAAGAAGAACCAGAACGAGAGAGAGAGAGAATGAAACAAGTCAACGAACAATAACAGATAACTAAACTCAAATATACCTGATCTTGGCCGTAGTTTCGAACCTATCATATATATAGTGAAGAAAAAAGAATGATGTTTTTGTGAGCGTTTCAATGATTGAGAAAATATTCATCGTCCATAATCAAAGACCACCAACGATGAAAGACACAAGGTACTCGAAAAAGATTTAATGCTTGATCAATGTACTGAAAGATGTGATGCAATAATTCGCATGGTAAGCAATTCATTCTGTTTGTTTCTCGTGGAATCAAATGATGCGCAGGCAAGTAACCTGTGTGTAAAAAGTCTTTGCACAACATCTCTATTCGATTTTCATCGACTTATAGGTTGTAGGAAAGAAACAAAAGTAGTCAAGTAGAATCAGAATTTGATGCTCTTTCTAAATATATATTCAGAATATTTTTTCTGACTGACAGTTGATTTATTAAGAGCAAATATTTGATAGCAGCCAAAAACGACGTTTGTATAGGATTTTTCATGTAGTTCATTTTTATATTTTGATTAAAACTATCTCAATTCAAATTACAAGAAAGTTTTCTTATATACTACATTATAGAGCGCAGCTTGCTCTACAAAATGCCCAATTTGCTTCGCTTTCTGCATATCATTAAAGACCATTAGAATTTGTTACATTTTAAATATCGAAATTTGCAAAAAAAAGATTATTTCAAAAAACACCATCTCACGTAATAAGTAGCATTTCGAAAAATGTTTGTAGCTTTTAAGTCTTTTGAGTTCTAGCATATTGAAACCTATGATCTTGTAGAACATTAAATTCTCTACAACAATAGGAGATGAAAACTATACTAAAGTATCTTTTAGAGAAATTACGATTGACATAAAAAATCTTATTTTTCGTGGTGCAAATGTCATTTTTTATTCATTCAGGTACTTGCTTACAGCTACCTACCTGTAAGTCAAAGCAAAATTTTAAAGGTATATTTAGAAAGAGCATCAAATTCTGGTTCTAGTCGACTACTTTTGGTCCTCTTCAATTACATATGAATATCCGAAAAAAGAGCAAACATATTTACCTAGACCTTTGAAACTAGTGTTTTGTACAGACGTCAGTTTTGGTTACCATCAAAGATTTGATCTTAATGAATCAACTGTCAGTCAGAAAAAAAAAATCTGAACATATATTTAGAAAGAGCATCAGATTCTGGTTCTAACGGACTACTTTTATTTCTCTCCTACAACCAATAAGTGAATGAAAATCGAATAGACATATTGTGCAAAGACTTTTTACACGCAGGTTAGTTTTTTATGAGAACATTTCTGTAAAAAAATGTCATTGAAATCTGTTTTTATCTTTAAAAAAGTTAGTTTTACTAGTACCAGCAAAAATACCTGAGTTTATAAATATACCCTACAAGCGCATTGGAGATTATACAATTACCCCATGTGAGATAATTATACAGAAATTTTTCGTCTAGTGCTCTTTTTGTGAGCTCTATAAAACACTTGAATTCGGGACTTATAATTTTAAGATTAATCTAGATCGATACGGAAGACTTTGAACTATTGATTGTTGAAAAATCAGAAAAAAATAAAGTATCAATTGCTTAAAAATTTAGTTCTACTGACACCAGCAAAAAATAGATGGATTTATACATTTACCCTAGTGACGTCAACGTTATTATACATTCACCTCCCCCTCCCCCTCCCCCGGGAAAGAAACTGTATAATCGAAAAACAGCATCTAAAGAGCACCTCGTAGATAGCTCTGCTCACAAGATTTTGAAAAATGAATTTCATCAATAGCTAGGTGACTTGTGAAGAAAATTTTTTGAAATAATGAAAAATAAAAAATTTATAGCTAATATACTGAACCCAGCTGATTTTTTTTATACGTTTACCCTCACTTACTCTATTTAATTCTTCTCTTCTCTTTTCTGAACATGACTTTTTTCCTACGTCCGCATGAAAATGAAGACAATGCAAAGATGATGTATACATGAGAATATGTGCAGAAAAAAGAAATGATATTCATTGAACGATGCATTGATATAACCTTTCTTTAAATGAATTCGTTCATTTTATTCTTCATTGATGTCAATGGTTACAAGTATAAACAAAGAATATTTATCTGAATATATATTGATAAAAGTGTTATAATCAATATTAAACATGAATTTGTCTAGTGTTCATCTTCTTGATTTACCTAATGAAATGTTATTTAATATTTTAAAGAAACTTGAAAATGTTGATATTCTTAATATTGCATCAATTACTGAAAATAGTACAATAATTAATTCGATACGTGATCGATTCTGTGATTATATATTACCTCGAATTTATTTCAATGTGAAATGTTTCATTGTTGAACCAGAATTCATGGAACGTATTATTCTTGCTACTCCTTATCCAAATCTGACTGAATTGAAACTTTTTAATTTTCAACGTGATAGTTCATTACATTATTTTACAGGTAAACATATATTCTATAATTTCATTAATTGAAAGATTACAAT